GATGAGTGGAATCTTGTCATTGGTAGAAACATGAACAGAAATGGAGGACCTCATATCAAGTGGAATAAACCTGCCATAGAAATAAAAATACCGTGTGTTCTTGTTCAGATGTTGGTGCTAGGGTAAAATAGTAGTCACAGGAATCGAAGCTGGTGTGAAGGTGAATGCCAACTTGGAAGGATCTAGGATCACCAGAAAACAAACTGCTTGGTATATCTATAGGGGACTTCAGTTAGGTTAATTGCAGTGAGATGACCCATCCCAAGTATGGGCAACATCATTCCATAGGCTTGTGTGCGGGACTCATAATAAGAGGAGGAAGGAAGCAAAAACACCAACATTCATTTCTCTGCTTCCTATCTGAGCGGCAATGTGACCAGTCACCTCAGTCTTCTGGTACCATGACTTCCTGGACATGCTGGAAACCGAACCCTTAAACTATGGGCCAAAATAAACCCTTAGTGGTTTATGTCAGATGCTCTGTTTCAGTAACTGGAAAAGCAACTAACACTGAAGGATGAAGGAACAGGAGGTGGGAATGGATTTCAGTGTTCAGTCCTAGAGAAGGAGCAACTACGGCTAACAATAATTTATTAGAAATTGTATAAGTAGAGAGAAAATAGAATTTCAAGATTTCCCAACACAAAGAAATGTTTAAGAATATATAAATCCTTTTAGTCTCATTTGTCATCACACACACACACACACACACACACACATATATATATATATATATATATGCATAATTGAACTATCACAGTGCATCCCAGAAATACATACAAATATTATACGCCAATTAAAATCTTTATCAACAGAGGGAGAAGGAAGGAAGGAAGGAAGGAAGAAGGAAGGGAGGAAAGGAAGGAAAGAAGGAGGGAGGGAGGGAAGGAGGGAGGGAGGGAAGGAAGGAAGGAAGGAATGAAGGAAGGAAGGAGGGAAGGAGGGAAGGAAGGAAGAAAGGAAGGAAGAAAGGAAGGAAGGAGGGAGGGAGGGAAGGAGGGAAGGAAGGAACGAACGAAGGAGAGAAGGAAGGAAGGAAGGAGGGAAGGAGGGAAGGAAGGAAGGAAGGAAGGAGAAAAGTAAGGAACGAAGGAGGCAGGGAGGGAGGGAAGGAAGGAAGCAAGGAAGGAAGGAGGGAGGGAGGGAAGGAAGGAAGGAGGGAGGGAGGAAAGGAAGGAGGGAGGGAGGGAGGGAGGGAAGGAAGGAAGGAAGGAAGGAGGGAGGGAGGGAGGGAGGGAAGGAAGGAAGGAAGGAAGGAGGGAGGGAGGGAAGGAAAGAGGGAGGGAGGGAGGGAAAGAAAGAAGGAGGGAGGGAGGGAGGGAGGGAAGGAAGGGAAGGAGGGAGGGAGGGAGGGAGGGAGGGAAGGAAGGAAGGAAGGAAGGAAGGAAGGGAGGGAAGAAAGGAAGGAAGCCAGAGGACTGGCCAGACGTCTGGACTGCACTATGTAGTCTAGGTAGCTGGCCTGCAGGTCTCAAGACTTTGACTGTCTCTTCCTCCCAAGAGTCAAAGTTACAAGATTGGGCTTTAAAAAAGGGGGATCAAAGCATTCTTGGGGGATCAAACTCAGGTCATTTAGCTTGAAAGGCAAGCCTCTTACTGACTGAGCTATCTCTCGTATTTTTCAAAAGCTAAAACAGAATTCTTATTGGATAGAGGCAGTCAAGGGGCGGCTTACTCATTGTTCCTAGTTGTGCTTCAGATCTCTGTGCACTACTTTCTATGTAGCCCAGGCATTTGAGAAAGTAAATCAAAGGCTAACAAAAGTAGACAAAGCATGCTGGGCTATAATATAACAAACTACTATGAAAAAAAAGCTGCCAATGGGGAAAAAAGAGTCATAGCTATTTTGGGGAAAGGTCACAAAAGTACCTCCACTACTTATCTTTGATTCAAACCTCTTCCTCCAAAAAAAAAAAAAATACCTGGTAAGGAGCATGTTCTCTGGTCCCATGCAGGCGATAAGTACTGCATGTGTCCCTATGAGGGATTTTAGGTGGTCCCATATGAGCACTGAGATTTACTAAAAATTGAGAAGACAAATTTCTATATGGGGTTAATGGGAGATTTTTCTGTCTACAAATATAAGCTATATTTCAGAACAATGACTTTTACCTCTAAGCTGGTAGAGAATGGACTTTGTGAGGTTTCTGTGTTTAGCTTTCAGCCTGTGAGAATCCTTCATACCAGAGAGTACATGAAGTTGGAAAATTGTTTGAAAAATATTCTCCTAGATGGTACCCTGCCATCTATTTTACCTAGGCTTTTCACTCTGGTGTTTCTGTTTTTTAGGATTTCTTATAATAATTCAGTACTCACGTTTAAGGCCACATTAAGAGATGAAACTAACCATGTGATATGGACATTTCTATCATAGAGGATTCAGTTTTAAGCAACTGACTAAGCCAATTTAAAGGTTGTGGAATATTGTATATGTTAATACATTTTTCTTCTCTGCCCTGAAAGCTGAGCTTAAGCTGTTAAGGTTGAAATTTATCAATATTATGAAAATACACAAATGTATCTTTTTCCACAATGTGAATATAAAGCAAAATGATCAAAAATGGGAAATAGCTGAATTCAAGATTTTTCAGTTTATGATATGGACTCTTCCATATTATTTTTGAAGTCTGTCCCACTCACAACGATATTCCAGGTCCTCATTAAGGCTGCCATTGAGCGGAGGACGGCAGTGAAGCCTCGAGTTATCCTTTATTACATTACTTTTAACTGTAAACTGTTGACAACCTCACCAAGTCCAGAACTGAAACCCTAGCCTCTCCCTCAGATTTGCTAGATTTTATTTTTAGATGTAATCACTTCCCTCCGGTAAATGGTTAGTGACCACACACACAGGTCTGCACATGAGGAAACTAAAAAGGGAATCTTGCCCCGTGAATCAGACACACAAGACACGACACAAGAAGAGTCTCCTGCCAGGCCAGGCCCAGTGTGTCATGTTCTCCAACTGTCCCAGGGATGGTGGTGTGCTGACATTTTCAATTAATGTAAATGATATTTGAGATGAAGCAATTTCCATGGCAGGCCCAAATGCACTTCTTGCTCTGCCAAATGGAGTGAGAAAACTTGGAGTTTTCTAAATTAATTTCCTTTACTGCTACCTGCTTTGGGAATCTTATTACAATTCAGCTTCTTAGAAAGAAAATTTTTCAAAGAAACCAATTCAATTAGATATTTGAGGCTATATTACATTTGGGTACTTTTATATACAATATAACTTATTCAAAGAACTGTGATATTCAATGTAGAAAAGTAAAACATTCAGAAAAATTCCAAAATATGGAATTTGGGTTATGTGAAATGATTGAGTTCTAGGGATATTCAGTAGACAGGGCCATTTTGGCTAATACTAATAATGCTTTCTGTACTTGTATAGAAGAACATATTTTAGTGTACTTTTTACAAAGTAGAAAGCAATAAATGAGTTATTAAAGCTGGAGATTAAAATAAAATAACAGAAGATAACCAGATAAAGAATAGTACAGAAAAAAAATTGGCATTTAATTATCCCAACAGTGAGTATTTTCCCAAGTGCTTCACAGTCATCCTGCATTAGACTCAAATGGTTGGCTTGTCAAAGATGGAAAGTACTGACTTTACCATGGCTTCCACGGCAAATGGGAATCTCTGCTAGACAGTCAGGAATCAGTACCTGCTGTGATTCTTGCTCTTGCTATAACCAGAGTCATTTGTGTAAATCCTTCAAACCATGTTTCTACTCAAAGCTATTTCCTACATACTAGCATGGCCAAAAACGCTGTACCACTCAGCTAAAGATTTATCCTCCATTCTAGGTAAAGGAAGCCCACCTACTCATGTTAAACTGCAAAACATAGCACCTTCGCTTCCTAACAAAACAAAAATTTAAGGGAGCAGATTATCAGAATATAGTTGCTTTCTCTAAGTAACTTTCTACTTTAACATGGCTGCAGTTGTTGGGCAGCATAGTTCTCCCTGAAAAAAGTCACATTCCCTCAAGACCACATGACAAGCACAGAGTATCATAAATACGTAATAGAAAATTTTAATTTTTGCGTGAATTGTTTTTAGGAAATGGGCTTCCTCTGAAGTTAGTGATAAATTATCAAGATGTACATAGATTTGCTAAATGGTTATAGGTGACAGTTTTTATTTTGTATGTGTATAAACTAAAAGACCTTTATGAGATGGAAGTTGTCCTATTCATCAAAATTATTAAGAAATATTCTGAAGAACATACACAGAAAGATTCAGTCTGCAGATCTCAAGATAGATCACCGTCTGTGGTTATTGTTAGAGTACATCCCACGTGATCTTTCCTTAGCAAATGACCTTATATATTCACTTCAATTTTGCAACATGAAATGCATGAAGGTTGATGATCTATATAGGCACGATTAATTTTAAAAGTCAGTGATAAAAATGAGTGCTCCAAATTGCTGGAAAGACCTTTGGGAGTATTTAAGAGAAGATTCATAAATTTAACACTTGAAAATAAATGTTATCTATTTCTTGGATACTGTAAAGATTGCCCGCCCTTTGTTTCTCTCATCTGAGATACCGCAAAGCCGACATATAATTAAACTCTATTTCTTTTTACACTTCAGAGACTGTTTTTCACTTTTTCTTAATTAAGGGCAGACACATCCTTGTTAATCCTAATTAGTGGTGAGGTTTTCGACTTATAACTTGAACAAATAATTCTTAGAGGCTAAATTGTGAGATAATATCATATAGATGCACAGAGACATGCAAGCATATAATCACACTTACAAGTTCCAATTACAGAAAAAGATAGGATGCATCTGAAAAAATCTGGAAGTTCACCGTGGGCACTTTCTGAAGGTCAGTGGTAGAAAACAATGATTTCTCTTTTCTGGATCAGTAGATCTAATCTGTAGCCTCTCCAATCTTAACAAGATTTGCTTTGATGGATTTTTTTTTTAATGATTGAAGGACTATAGATAACATTTATCATTCAAGGAGAGAGGTGACCCACATACCTGACTTGTCCCTGACCGTCACACAAGTGAAAGCAGGAAGCAGGAACATTGCCACCCAGGTCCACAGTTTCCAAGAGCCAGTGTGCCTCATTGTGCCGTGAAACCATGGGAACAAATGACCATGAATCTGTAATGGCAGAAACATTCCAGTTGAGATTCTGTACTCTGCTCCATCACAGCCACAAAGTCAGTAGCAGCAAAGAGAAAACAATTGATTTCTATATATCATATAATTTTATATGAGGGTATATGATGCTCTAATGTGCAACTGTTTCAATACATATCTTAATCTTTATGAGTGCTCAGGAAATATTTCTAGATCTTTCTTAGTTAATTAGTCAATTAACTACTAATGATGACAGATACTCCTCACTTAAGTTTTCTCACCTTTTCAACGGTTGTAAAGCTATAACATTCAGATGATTTCTTTATTTTAAAAATTGTAGTAAAGGGGCTGGAGAGATGGCTCAGAGGTTAAGAGCATTGCCTGCTCTTCCAAAGGTCCTGACTTCAATTCCCAGCAACCACATGGTGGCTCACAACCATCTGTAATGGGGTCTGGTGCCCTCTTCTGGCCTGCAGGCATACACACTCACAGAATATTGTATACATAATAAATAAATATTTTTAAAAATTGTGGTAAAATATATTGTAATGCAAAATTTGTATTTTGACCATTTCTAGGTGTGCATGTCAGTGTAATTAAGGTCGTTGCCACTGCTTTCCAACCCCCACAGCTATCCATCCCAGCAATTCTTGTCAGTTCACAGAAGTGGGTATCTTTGACTGCTCAGTAAACCTTCCCATCTCATTGTCCGCAATTCCTGGTTATAATTCCACTTTCCCTGCTACACGTGGAACTGCTGTAGGCACCTGAATATTGGTTGATTCTGCAATCATTCCACTTTGCCTTCTGGTGACTTTGTTTTACTTAATGTGATATCTTTGGTGGTGGTGGTAGTGGTGTGTGTGTGTGTGTGTGTGTGTGTGTGTGTGTGTTGTGTGTACTCACAAAGGTGCCTACAGTCTTGGGCTTATGGGTGCACATATACATGTGTATGTGTGGAAAGTGGAGATCAGTAAGTACCAGGTGTCACTCCTTGGGAGCCAGCTGCCTTCCTTTGTGACACAAGGTCTTTCATTCAGAGCAGGCTGACTGGTTAGCGAGTTCTCTTCCCTGTGACTGGGTTTACAGACACACACCACCCTATCCAGTTTTTCACAAGAGTTCTGGGAACTGATCTCTGGTCTTCACGCATGTGCATCAAGCATTAACTGACTAAGAGCTTTCCTGGCCAATAGTATAAGGACCTAAAAGCTCATTTGTGTTGAGAGGTGTGTCAGGAATTTCTCTTGTTTGGGGCTAGATAATACTTCACTGTTCCTAAGTGCCCATTTTTGTTCATCATCCATCAGTGGATATTCATTTGTTTCCATCTATTGGCTGCTTTGAAGGCTCATTTTGAGCAAAGATGTACAGCCATCAACCTGTGCCTCCACTTACAATTCTCTTGGGTATATGGTGTGAGAGGTCCTGCTGTCTATGGGTTGCTTTCATTGGTTAATGAATAAAGAAAGTGCCTTGGCCTGTGATTAGGGCAAAACTTAGGTAGGTGGAAAAAGCTAGGCAGAATGCTGGGAGAAGGAAGGTGGGAAAGAGATGCCATGAAGCCACCAGAGTCAGACATGCTAAATCTTTCCTGGTAAGCCACTGCCACATGACAATACACAGATTAATAAAAATGGGTTAAATTAATGTAAGAGTTAGCCAATAATAAAATAAAAAACACCAATGATAGCCTATGCTGGAGAGGCTGTGGAGAAAGGGGTACACTCATCCATTGCTGGTGGGAATGCAAACTTGTGCAACCACTTTGGAAGGCAGTGTGGCGGTTTCTCAGAAAATTCGGGATCAACCTACCCTGGACCCAGCAATACCACTCTTGGGAATATACCCAAGAGACACCCTATCATACAACAAAAGTATATGCTCAACTATGTAAATAGCAGCATTGTTTGTAATAGCCAGAACCTGGAAACAACCTAGATGCTTTTCAATGGAAGAATGGATGAAGAAAGTATGGAATATATACGTATTAGAGCATTACTCAGCAGTAAAAAACAATGACTTCTTGAATTTTGCATGCAAATGAAAGGAAAGAGAAAACACTATCCTGAGTGAGGTAAGCCAGACCCAAAAAGAGGAACATGGGATGTACTCACTCATATTTGGTTTCTAGCCATAAATAAAGGACATTGAACCTATAATTTGTGATCCTAGATGATGGAGGAAGGTCATTGGTAATAAACAAACTGCCTTGGCCCATTTTGATAGGCCATCCCTTAGGTGGGTGTAGTAAGCAGAACAGAATGCTGGGAGGAAGAGGAAGTGAGGTAGATGCCTCAGACAGACGCCATAGCTCAGCTCTCGGGGACACACGCGATGAACGATGAACCTCCAACCCAGGATGGACGTAGGCTAGAATCTTCCTGGTAAGCGCACCTTGGGGTGCTACACTCTTTATTAGAAATGGGCTAGTCCAGGTGCGAGAGTTAGCTGAGAAGAGGCTAGATATAATGGGCCAAGCAGCACTTAAAAGAATACAATTTGTGTGTTGTTATTTCGGGGCATAAGCTAGCCAGGCGACCAGGAGCTGGGACGGCAGGAACACAGCCTGCAGCTCCTACTATACCTAGAGATGCTAAATAAGAAGGTGAACCCAAAGACAAACATATAGGCATCCTCCTGAATATTAACCTTCATCAGGCGATGAAAGGAGACAGAGACCCACATTGGAGCATCAGACTTAAATCTCAAGGTCCAAACCAGGAGCAGAAGGAGAGAGAACACGAGCAAGGAACTCAGGACTGTGAGGGGTGCACCCACACACTGAGACAATGGGATGTTCTATTGGGAACTCACCAAGGCCAGCTGGCCTGGGTCTGAAAAAGCATGGGATAAAACCGGACTTGCTGAACATAGCAGACATTGAGGACTACTAAGAACTCAAGAACAATGGCAATGGGTTTTTGATCCTACTGCACGTACTGGCTTTGTGGGAACCTAGGCAGTTTGTATGCTCACCTTACTAGACCTGGATGGAGGTGGGTGGTCCTTGGACTTGCCACAGGGCAGGGAACTCTGATTGCTCTTTGGGCTGACGAGGGAGGGGGACTTGATTGGGGGAGGGGGAGGGAAATGGGAGGCTGTGGCGGGGAGGAGGCAGAAATCTTTAATAAATAAATAAATTTTAAAAAATAAATTAATTAATTAAAAAATGAGCCAATAAGAAGCTGTAGCTAATGGTACATGCAATGATTTAATCACTACAGTTCCTGTGTGATTATTTCAGTTCTGGGTGGCCAGGATGAACTATCGGCCTCCTCCTATAGGTATATGTTCAAAGATGAAAATGCTAAGTGAAGCACATGGTTCTCCAACTTTTAGTTTCCCAAGGAGCATCATGGCGTTTTTCCAAAACACCCACACCATTCACATGGCCAATAGTGAAGGGTACTGATTTCTCCATATCCTCTGTTACACTCCTTGTTCTCTTTCTTTTTGATTGAAACTGTACTAATGGTTATTAATGTTATAACTATAACAGTATAGTTATGCTATACTAATGACTCATTGTGGTTTTGATGTGTCTTTTTCTAAGGATTCTTAATGCTAAACATGTTTTGTGTACATTATGGCCATTCTTATGACTTCTGTGGAGAAATGACAGTCATACTTTCTCTTTTTAATGATTAGCTGTTGTTGTGCTTTCATATATTCTGAGTTTTTGACTCTTTATCAGCTTATAATTAACAAATGTTCTCTCTTATTTCACAGGGTTCCATTCAGTCAACTGACTGTATCCTTTAATACATACACTTTTAAATATATCTTATTGTATTTTTTCATTTATTGCCTACATATTTGGTATAAAATACCATGATTCAGAATTTTTAAACACAATTTCATCGTTCATGATTTTGTTTGAGAATATTATATTTATATATTATGGATTAATTGACATAATAATATTTTACATGAAGTATTTTGCTATGGGATTGCATTCCACTCCTAAAATTACAACTGCACAAATGCATTCTTCATACTATTTAAAGGGAAACTGATACATGAAATGCCAAGTGGACATTTTATAATAGTCTGTTGACATCACTGCTTTTAAGAATTTATATTCTCACTCTACAGGTATTACAATGAAAGTTTCAGCATACAAAATCCATAGAGGGCCAGGAGGGTTTGCTCAGTGCTTAAGAGCACTGGCTACTCTTCCAGAGGACTTGGGTTTGAGTCCCAGCACCCACAAGGCAGCTCACATTGATTTGTTACTCCAGTTCAGCTGATATGATGCCCTATTCTTGCTTCCATGGACATCAGACATAGAATAAATGCATGCAAGAAATCCATACACACACAAAACTGTGACAGATAAAATAAAATATATTTAGATACCTATAACAATTTTTCTAAATTTAGCATTGTTTGAATTAACTTTACTGTAGTGAATTAACAAAAATGGAAATAATTTGGAAGGAAAATGTACTTTATCCCTCAATTTTACTTGACAAATACACTTTTATTAGAAATAGCTATTCAAGAGTCATAAATCACTTATTTGCCATTATCTACATTTTAATAAAGAGCCAATCATGAAAGAATTCATCACACAAATGTCTAAATTCTGTCAAGAGTGTCTCTTGAACAGTAAGCCCACCTCCTTTGATAGTCTACATACACATGCCAAATACTTAATTCAGCATTTTGAAATTAATTCAAGATTCTAGATATTTCTGGATGAATAGCTAGAGGCAGCAATTTCAATGTTAAAACTGTATGTGTGGTTCTAAACACCAAACATCTGGTCGTATGTCTTATTTATTTTGAATTCTAGTACATACATACTCCTAATCCTCACACAACCTTGCAAATTGATCACAGCTTTTATTTCTTGTCTGTTAGCAATTGTTGAATCAATGTATTCTGGTTCAAATAAATTCTATAGCTAATTTCGATCCAATTGTCAGGAAGATCTATGATTTGTTTTAACTGGGGGATTTCTCTTAATTGATCAATTAGCACTGTAACATAGTAGTTAAAATCATGACTTCCTG